GATAGCTGTGCAGGAAGAATAGCAGTCTGTGCTCAATAACTGTATACACAGTCTTACACAGTGGAACCTATTTTATTCAATATCTTACGCCAGCATAACTGCTTGGGTGAATCAGACGGGACTCTATTTTGGTAAGGAATAGAACCAGATCTTCCCTGGCACTGGATAAGAGCCCAGTCTTCATTGAGCAGACTTTAAACCTGTGCCTCTGGCAGTCGGTTTGTTGTACTTAGTTTCTGCCACATTCACAGATGAATCACATTGCACATATTGACAAAATCTGTGTTATTTAATCAGAATTTGTGGTTCCCTTCCCCTTCCATTCCCTTTGATCCTACTAGCACCCACTTAGCCTGTTAGGCAGTCCAGGTTTTCCTCTTGCACGTGTTTAGTGCTTGGTAGGGTGGGAAGTTCTGTAGAGCAATCAGGCAGCAAGACATTGGTTTAAAGAAAAAAATTAATAAGTTCCTAAACTACAAATTTCTTTACAAACGTTGTTACCAAAATAAGTATGAGCCTCCCCACCTCCAACCTATAAGCCACACATGTCTGCACCTGACTCGGGGACACATAGAGCAAGCATTACCACTGAGACAGGGGTGAAAGAAGCTATTGAAAAGACAAGCATTTGCCAGCCAGTTACTACTGGTGGGAAAGTGGAGAATATGATCAAAGCCACTGAGAGGTAACACTTGGCAAATGCTGACAGTGGTGAACCTCCTATTGACTTTAGAATAAATTCTATGAGATACTGTTGTTTTCATGTATAGATAAGGACATATTTTCATGATGTACATATATGCAGCCACAGCCAGTAGTAACAATGTTGGCTTTACCCTGATAACAAGTCTTCCTCTGTTTTAAGGAACGATTTAAAGAAGCGGAAGAGGTTTACAAGGCTGGGATAGAAAACTGTCCAGAAAGCTCAGACCTGCATAACAACTATGGTGTTTTCTTAGTTGATACTGGTGAGTAAAATGAAGCTAGGAGATTTATTTTACTTGGTTATTTGTTTTGATCCAGGATGATTGAGGGAGTCTATTTAGTACTGCATTTTATAAAGATTGGCAGAAATTCCCAGAGCAATGGATGGACACTCATTTATTACAGCTTGTAAAACTCCAAAGGTATAAGTAAATATTGTCCCTGCTTTATAGAGACTGAACTCAGTGCTGAAATCGGAATTATTTGTAAGGAATAATTGCATTGAGTAACTATGATATTTAGCCTGTGTACTTCCTACACTTGTCTCACTGTGAAGTCTAGAGTTGTCATCTTTAGGATGAGGGCTGCATCACACAGTGGATTGACAACATTGCAGTAATTTACCCCGGGATGTGTGGCCACTCAGAACAAAACCACAGACATGCATAGAGGCCTACATCATTTTTGTGGCTATTTACAACCTCAGTTAGTGACAAAGCTGCTCTTTGGCTGTAAAGGGTGTAAGCCACCAAGGTAAAATAAACAGGGTTTGAAAATAAATCATTTGACAAAACAACCCCTGTCCCACCCACCACCCCCAACCCCCAAGATCCTGTGGAGAGAATAGATTTCTCAGAAGAGTGGTAATGAGATACAAAGCCCGTTGCTTCTATGCTGCTGGTTCATATCCAGCTTCCATGGCTTCAGGAAGTTCTTGGCATCCACATAATAAAAATTACCACCACAATTGGCACCTTTTATTGGCAGTATTAGAAGCATAGCCAAGTTTGAACAGACTTAGAAACTAGATTACTTCCTCACTCCTAAAGAAATTCCCTCCTGAACAGGGCTAAGACACACTAGCAAAGTACTGTAGAGTGAGCTTGAATAACTGATGCTCATTCTGTGTCATTCACATCTCAAAGGTAAATAGTGCCAGAATGACTTAATGCTTGAAAGGGAGTCCTCTGAGGGCCAGTAATATGATCAAGAGGGTGGAATGCACGATATCTGTAGATGGCAGGTTTACCTGAGTTCATACTGATCCATCATTGGATCCTGGCTAGCACTATGGACAAAAGGGACTTGGGGGTCATGACTGACCACAAGATGAATATAAGCCATCAATATGATGCTGCAGCTAGTAAAGCGAGCAAAACGCTGGCTTGCATCCATAGATGCTTCTCAGGCAAATCCCAGGTCGTCATTCTCCCATTGTACTCGGCCTTCATGAGGCCGCAGCTGGAGTACTGCATCTAGTTTTGGGCTCCACAATCCAAAAAGGATGTGGAGAAGCTTGAGAGAGTCCAGAGGAGAGCCACGCGCATGATCAGAGGTCAGGAAAACAGACCTTATGATGAGAGGCTGAGAGCTGTGGGAAAAGTGCAGGCTCAGAGGTGATTTGGTGGCTGCCTATAAGTTTATAAGGGGTGCTTACCAGGATCTGGGGGAACGTCTGTTCACTAAAGCGCCTCAAGGAATGACAAGGTTGAATGGTCATAAACTCCTCCATGACTGTTTCAGGCTGGACATATGGAAGAACTTCTTTAGTGTCTGAGCCCCCAAGGTCTGGAATAAACTGCCACCAGAGATGGTTCAAGCACCTACTTTGAATGCCTTCAATAGAAATTTGGATGTTTATCTTGCTGGGATCCTATGACCCCTGCTGACTTCCTGCCCCTGGGGCACGGGGCTGGACTCGAAGAACTTCCGAGGTCCCTTCCAGCCCTAATGTCTATGAAATCTATGAAATCATTCTACTATGGTATTAGTGGGCACTATGCTGCTGCAAATATACAACCAAATGATATGAGTGTCTGGTCATGAAAAACTGATCATGTTTATTGAAGAAGTTGAGATTTTTATCCTGGCAGGCAAATATCAGACTTTAAATTCTACTTGCTTAGAGCATCCCTTATAATTTCAGGCAGAAATGGCAATATTCTTCACTTCCAGTGTTGTGTGCACCTACTGGGTTACCATATTCCATTGTGTACACAGAGATTTCCCTTCACACTTGCATGTTCTGCAAAGGTGAAAAGTTACTTTTTCCTATTTTGTTTGTTACCATGCTTCCCATCAAGATAACTGAAAAAAAGCTGACACTGGAAACCTGGGGTATAAATAATTCTGTTGAGAATAGCACACATTCTGCAAGTTCTTTAGACAATAAGGTTCTGAAAAATGAGTATTATGCCTGAGCAATGGTAATTATGGCAGCTTTTCTGGCAAAACTATGTATGTGTCCAGTCAATGCTCTTGTTCAGTAGTAGAACCCTCCTTCCTGTAGCCAGAGTTATACCATGCCTGCCAAGCAAAGGAAGGCTTCTGACATCTAGTAGACAACTGTCAATTCTCTGGGTCGTAGTGTAGATGTAAGAGGTCTAGTCAGGTGCCTGATGAGTGGCTGACAAGCCCAATTCAAGAGTGATACACCTTGTTACAAGTTTCACAGACTGTTACGTCACTGTTCAACAGATAACCAATCTCGAGACCATCCAAAGCAGGACCTTTTCCCCAACTTGCCTGCCACATCTTGATGTTATCAGAATATTTAAGGAGGGGTTCAGTGGTGTAACAATATGTGTCCCCGCTAGGGGTACTCAGTTTGAATGTGGCTAACCTTGGGGCTCCGCCTTCCCTACACCCTATCCACTCACCAACCGTAGGTGCTCATGTTTTCTCATCTGTTGCAGCAGCTTTGGCCTTTCATATTCACTCAGCTGTCTTCAACCTATGTCCAGTCATCTGATGCTTCAGTGGGTTGCCACCGGACTCTGAAGTTTACACGGCGCCTTTCCTCAATCTCTGGGTGCTAAGTCCTGAAGCTGGTCCTTGCTAATGGGACCACAAGAATGTTGGCCCAATGGGCCTCTCAAAATCATAATTAAAGAAAAAAAAGAAGAAAGACTGCACCAAGGAGGAACTAACTATAAGGGGGCTCAGCTACCCCCTTTGGCTTTTATATTCTATATCTCCCCCCTTTGGAAGACAGTCCGCGACCAGAGGCTGGAGCTTGAAGCCCCATACCAGCCTATTGGGGCTTTCCTGCTCCACTCTAATGAGGCCCCTGTTGCCCAAGTGCCCCACTGCCTTGGCGTTCTGAGGAGCCCTCTTCCCTGGCCTGCATTGGCCTGGTAGCGGCTGCCTGCCTCCTCTCATAGGCACTGTCAGTGCCTTTTAAACTCTTTGTGGTGATGCCTGTGGCTGACGCCATCAGCCAGGCACCACCGAGTTTGATTGACAGCGAACTCAAAAACCAGCACAGCAGTGCCATGCATTGCCTTGGTGCTGGCTCTCCCTGCCCTCCTCACTTTCTCCCATGACTGTCTGCCCAGCCCCCTTGGAGTCAGCCAGGTAGGGCTGTGTAAAACTTTGGCAGCTGTTTCAATCTGAAATGAAACGGAAGGCTCTGAAACATCTGTGAAACTAAATGAAACCATCTGAAACATTTCGGAGATGTTTCAGAAAATTTTGGCGTTTCGGACCCAGGCTTGCAGGGAAACAGAAACTAAGAAGAGGGAGGGGGAAGAGAGAGGGAAGGACTGCTCTGATGTTGACATCTATAGCTGGCCAGCATCTGTGATTTGTCCCTGAGGTCCCTTCCAATCCTAGTGCTTTGTGGGAGGGACAGCAGCCTGCTGTCATCCCACACACAGATCTGGGGGCCCATGCCCCCCAGGAGGAGTCTGACACAGCCAAGCAGTCTTCCCAGGGGGCGCAGGCCCCCAGATCTGCAGCAGCATCACTGGTCTTCCCAGTGCTTGGCGCAGGTTGTGCCAAGCACTGGTCTCAGCCAGCAGTGGCAGCCTGCTGTCATCCTGCCTGCAGATTTAAGGACTTGTGCCCCCCAGGAAGAGTCCGGCACAGCCCCACAGCCTTCCTGGGGGGCATGGTTTCTAAGTGTGGCAGTCCTGTGTGCTCCAATGTCTCTGTGTTTAGCATTTTGTCTTACCACTTTATTTTCAGGATCTTGTGTAGGCATCTCATGCGGAAGCTATTTAGTCTCCTGATGTGTCTACCATATGTAATGCACATTTCTGAACCATAAAGCAGGGATGACAGTATGCAAGTCTTGTAGATCAGCATTTTTACCTTAGTTGATAGTTCGTTGTTATTCCATGCATGTTTCTGTAATAGCCCAGATTTCTTAGCTGCTTTTCCGAATCTGTTAGATCAGTCTGACGGTCAAGATTCCTGATGATTTGTAGAACCCGAATAGCAAAAGCTGTCCATGATGCCAAGAGATTTACCCTCCAGAGTGATGCCAGGCACTGGTTCTTCCAGTCTTTTTGAAACTAATTGCCAACCCAAAGTTCTTGCATGATGCAGAAAATCTGTCTAAGAGATTTTGCAGGGAAGATTCACTGTGGGCAACCAAAGCCGTGTCATTCACAAATAGGAAATCTCTCTGAACCGGCTTTTTCACCTTGATTTTCCCTCTAAACCTTGCAATGTTGAACAAGCCTCCATCTAGTCTGGTTTGAAGATAAATGTCATCATTGCTGTCCTTGAATCCATGAAGAAGTAGGAATGAAAAGTAGATGTTAAAGAGCATGGGGGCTAAGACACGCATTCATTTTTCTCTACACTTTTCTTGCAGTTGCTTGGCTGAAAATATATCAATGGTGGAGCATCCTGAGCAAAAACCACATTGACTTTCAGGATAGATTCTTTCACCTAGAGATTGCAGCCTAGGGAGCATAATGCGAGTGACAACTTTTCCAATGATGTTCAACTTGTAGAATTGTCACAGTTGCTTCTATCCCCCTTGTTTTTGTATAATTGTACAAACCAAGCATCTTTGAAATCATCTTTCCCAGAGCAATATAAGCTCATGGAACTTTCAAAGTAATTCATCGTTGGCGTGTTTCTAGATTTCAGCAGGCAAGCAGTCATTGCTGGATGCCTTGTTCCCAGGAATTGATTTAATGGTTTTCTGCAGATCTTCTAGTGTAGGCTCATTGTCCAGATCCTTCATAACTTCAAACTGTGGTAATCTTTCGAGCTCTCTGTGTTTGATTTCAGTCTTGCTGAAGTATAGTATTCCATAGTGTTCAGTCCAGTGTTTGAATAGTTTTTATCAGTGACGACATTTCAGTTTAAGTCTTTCAGCAGAGCTATTTTCTTCTGGACTGGACCAGTTGTTCATTTGATGACTTTGTGGCAGACTAAGGTATGGTCAGTGTCACAGTCAGCACTGTAATAAGAGCTTGTGTGTAGGATTTCTTTCAGGTGGTTGCGCCTGGTTAGTACTAGATCTAACTGGTGCCAGTGCTGTGACCTTGGCTGTTTCCACGATGTCTGTTTTGTAATTTTCACAGCTAAGTAGGTGTTGGTAACACAGAGATTTTGATTTGCACAGAGTTCTAACATTCGCTGGCCATTTTCATTCATATTACCAATTCTATGTTTCCACAGAATACCAAGTTAATTTTCCAAGGTACATCCAACTCTTACTTTGAAGTCGCCAAGTATTATAATGGTCTGATTCCTGTGAGTTTTCTCAATTTCTTCTTGAAGTTGTTGGTAGAAAACATTCTTGTTTTCATCACTAGCTTGAAGGGTAGGCACACACAAAGACACTAAACAGCATGATGAAGCCATTCTGTGTATACACTCTGAGCATCAAATAAATACAGCAATGGGGCTTTCATGGGAAGATAGTATTAGAATGTTTCTAATAGCAAAGCCTACTATCTGCTCTCTCCTTTCTCTTGCTGGCTTCCCATGCCAGAGTATGGTATAATCATTCTCTTGGATCAAACCTGTATCTAAGTGGATCAGTGTCAATTCCAAGTCTAACCAGTTCATATTTTAGTAGTGCCATTTTCCATAAATCACAGTCCAAATCAAATCTAAGCATCAAAGTTCAAACATTCTGACATACAAGCTGCTTTATTTCATTTTGGCCAGGATAGATTATGTTGGGGCATGGCATTTTTGGCCCACCTTTTCTAGGGCCTTCCTCAAGAGAGACGAGCAGACTTCCCCTGAATAGGGCTGCTTGGACACCTTGGTAGCTGCCTCAGGCTCCTTATGCCCCTGCAGAGTCCTACCACCATCACACTGAGACCTTCAATGCCTAGGCAAAAGTATGGAGGACTGGAAGCTTTCCAAGATAATTGAAAGGTCAGACCGAGTCCAGATGTTCAGTGCCACAGCAATTGTAGCTTCTGTCAGAGCTTCTGTCAGAGGGTGTGTTTCTCTCATGGTGATGTTTCTTAGCCTTACTTCAACCAAGGAATGCCTACAAGACAGTGGGGGCTAGGGTTTTGAGGCATATGGCCAGGTATGCCCATAAACTGAATCCAACTGGAGGGCTTGGTAATGATGTGATGGGGCTACTCGTGGCAGGGTAGTACCTAAAAAGTACCACAATGGTACAATTTCTTTAGCAGGTGTGGGCAAAATGGCAGATCCAGACAGTGGCCAGACTCCATTTCTCACCAGCCCCTGCCCGTGTCACTGTGGGCGGTTTCCATGGAGATCCCAGTAGTGGTGGGGCTGTGATAGCACAGGGCCAGGGTTTCCAGGAAACTGGCCCTAGCAACTCTGGTAGGGCATGCGGCTGGGCAAGGAACTGCTCTGGGACCTGGGCTGGGAACTTGTGGCAGCGACAGCATGGTCCAGAGCCATGATTGCAATGCGGGCAGTGAATAGCAGTTCTGCCCCAGCTCTGGACCACGCTGTCACTGCTGCAAGTTCCTGGCCCTGAAGCACCTCCCCACCCAGCCTTGCACCTTGCCAGTGCTGTTGGAGCTGGTCTCCATGGAAACCCTGGCCCTACACTATCATGACCCCACCGCTGCTGGGGTCTCCATGGAAACAGGCTTCAGCTACTTGGGCAGGGGCTCCTGGTAAATAGAGTCCACCATGGGCCTAATTTGGCCCATGGGCTGGACTTTGCCCACCCCTGCTCTAGAGTAAGGCAAGTATAGGGCACCTCAAAACCATTGTGACACAACATGTATATAGACGCTCCTATGCCTTTTGCTGGCTGCTAGGGTCCTTTCAGCCACTCTCTCAGGCAGTAAAGCTGCTAAGCAAAGCAGTGCATAGCTACCAGAAATGCAAGAACACGTATGTGATCTGGTGGCTGAGTAATGACAGGTCAGAATGAAATGGCTTGCCATAAAATGTGCAGAGGGCTAGATTCTTAGCTAGTGTCTCTATACATAGAGCTGTATACGGTGACTTTTACCAGCTGAGGAACAGGCCGAATATTTGCAGCATTGCTATGTTAACGTTGTTCCTGACACTTTTCTGTTTGAATAGCTGGAATGAAAACTGTGCCACATTGACTTAGTTTGTATCTAGCCTCTATGTGGAACATACCATGAGATCCTTCATTACAACTGGCAATACAGTATATACTAATATATTGTTAGCATGAGAATTCATTCTCCAGGGATAACATTCTGGCACCCCTCTTCAGCAGAAGGTGAACTTCAGCAAGTTTTAAATACCTGGGACATTGATGAATTCTTATAGTTGTTCATGTCTTTACCGAATGTTCTGTTTCTGTTCTTGTGTCTAATGAGGTAATGTTTTCAGGTCCCTATTAGTGCATGGACAGGTAAGATACAGGGAAGCAGCGCCACCCAATGGTTTCTCTGAAACACAGTTCTGGATTCTATTTTACAAAGCAGGTGTTTTCCATTGATAAATGATAATCAGTGGAAATAAAACAGGGTGGGAATTAGCAGGCTATCAGAGTCTGCAATGGGTGCAATGGGAGCCATAAGTACAAAGGTTTAAGAGCAAGGTAGACCAATTTATTTTCAGGTAATATTTTATTTGCTATGAAATGCAATTTTTAGTCCACCTGAAACTATTTGAATTTGAGTGAAATTAACCGAATAGTTTTGTCAGAAGAAAATGCTGGCCTAGATTCACAAAACTCAGGAGGGTGAGATGGTGCCTGTGCCACACCCACCCCCTTTTAATCAATAGTTAAAGTGACCTAGCAGTTACCCAGATGTGGGACACCTGGGTTAAAGTCCTTCTTCAACCTCAGGGAACTTTGAACTCACATTTCCTGTCTCTTAGGAAGGTGCCTTGACCATCAGGCTCTGCAGTATTTGGGGTGAATTACACTCAGCCTTTACTGGGTCTGTTCTTTTCAGAGAGCCTAATAATGACTCTCCAGCCCAGTGGTTTAGGAAGAGAGACGCCTGAGTTTCAGACAATACAGCTTCAATTTCAGCTTCAAACAATATTTAAGCATTCCTAAAAAGTGCAGCAGTAGCAACAGGGAAGAACAAGACCAGATCACCCCAGCATGCCTTAGAACAGTGGTTTTCCACCTTTTTCATTTGTGGACCCCTAAAATTTTTTGAATGGAGGTGCAGACCCCTTTGGAAGTTTTGAATGGAGGTGTGGACCTCTTTGAATTGTAAGTGTAGGTATTCACGTACTTTTGGTTGATCAGTCATCTTTTGTAGACCCCTTAGATGTAGTATGCAGTTCCCCAGGGGTCTCTGGACCCCAAATTGAAAACCACTGCCCTATAGTAAGGGGCTTAGTTGACTTCACTGGGAGGTGGGATATATAGATTCAGGACCCCTCAGGCATGTAGGATTAGAATAGGAATGTTCCACATCCTGAAACGAGTATCCTCACCATGGGGCACTTCGATAAAAAGATGGCAGTGGCACCTTCTTCTGCTTTTGTTTTTTGAGTGCTGCGTGAGTCTTTGTCATAAAAATGCCTATGGTGTTTGTGTTTCATGGGGAACACTGTGTTTTCTTTCCATCAGAATGCACTGTTTGTTTGTTTTGGCAACTAAACCCCAACATACTTCATTTAGATTTAATGTTACATATTTTTTCAAGCCTCTGAATCAAAAATCAATTCTTCACGTAGCTTAGGGCGTGAGCGCCTGCAGCCACCCAGGAGGTGAATGAGTAACTTTCTGATGGACATGCAGGGCAGTTTGTTGCTCTGAGTGTGTGGCTGCTGGACTGGAATTGATCTTCCCCCAAACCACCCCACAGAGTGGTAGAAAACAGTTTTTGCTATTTGTCCTTCCACAGCAGTAGGTCAGAATGAAAAGAAGTGAAATGCATCTTTTCTGTTTCTCCCTAGAGTTGTTTTTACTTTATATGTTGTAAAATAGTTTGTAAAATGTTTTCTTCTCCAGATTGCCAGGGCTTGAGAGAGTGTCTCACTTTCTCTCTTCCTATCTCTGTGGGGCCCACACATCCTTTCAGTTGCAGTTTATGATTTTTGCTGCTCTTGCATGAGAACACAGTAACTTGTTTCCTGCAGACCCAGTCACAGTAACAAAATTCATTTTAAAAACAGACCTGAATGTCATGTTTACATTTGCGTGCGGACTCTACCCTTCACGCTACCACAGGAGGAGTGTTGTCTATTGGGAATCCTTTCCTTGGCAATCATGCCCAAAGATTTGCAAAAAGCAGTGACTAAAAGCTTACCTCCTAAATCCCAATTCTGAACATTCAGGCATTACATTTCTATTTGGATGGCAATTTTCCCTTGTGCATAGTCTGCAGAAGAAAGGAGACAAGATTCCTGTCTCACTATGGTTCCTACCCATCAGCTGCTCTGAACACTCAGGAAATGAGTATTTGGCAGCCAATGATGATCACTGAAAAGAATCAGAAATATGATTGAATGCACAAATGTTAGAGGCTTTCATGTGGCATAAGATTAAATGCTTTTTGCTCTGCAGGGGCTCCTGAGAGAGCAGTGTCCCACTACCAGCAGGCCATCCAGCTCGGCCCAAATCATCACGTTGCCATGGTAAACCTGGGCCGACTCTACCGCTCTTTGGGGCAGAACAAAGAGGCTGAAGCGTGGTACAAACGGTAAGGATTTGGGGTGGGAGGGATGACTCCGCCCTTGTCCTTTCCCACATCTGGTCTTTGTTACATGACCTTATAAAAATCCTTTAGTGTTTCATGACCTTACACTAGGTCTTTAGTGTTTTAGTCTTTCAGTGAGGATTCCTTTTTTCTCTCTCTTCATTTGAGAGAGTGGTTTGCTGCTGTTGCTGGATCTGGCTGTTTTACGAGGGCATGCAGTGGATCAATATGTTTTCATTTGGTTTTTGGCTGTCCTGAGTTGTGCAGCAAGTGTCTTGCTGGGCTTCTCTTGAGCCAAGCCCCCAGGATGTATTGTACTGCTTTGAGCTGAAGGGCTATGGCTGATTCTGAGTTTAGCGGTTTCTTAGTGTCATCGGTAACCCATTAGTGTTCTGTCTGACGCACACTGCAGTCTGCATGTGCCACGTTTTGGCTGCACATCCCATCCAGGAATTCAGGACCTCCTTTGTGAATCAGTGGATCTCTTGTTTTACTGGAACCTCCCCCAGCGCCTGCTAAGCGAACAGTTCCTTGGGGTTTGCCAACAACGGGAGGAGAGGGGGGACTTTCCTTGTGTCTCCATGTTTGGAGCCCTGGTCTTTGTTCTTTTTGAAGATTCCTTTTTTTTTTAAGATCTTGCCTTGCCAGCACAGCTGCAGACTTGAAATCAGTGTAAAAACAGTCTTTCCTTGTGTTTTTGAGCTGACAGGAGGGATCGCTGCTGAGGGCAACCCCTTCTCTGACCAGGGAACCAGAACGCTGTCTCAGCAACTCCTTCTGTCTTCCCTGAGTCAGAGAGAGCGTTGGTATGGCACTGAGCCTCAAGCTTGGACCGCTAACTCTCGCGAGCCTATTGGAGGGCGAATCCCTCCCCAGTCTTCTGCCCTTGTCCCAGCGTCAGCTGAAACCTCTTCGTTCTTCCCAACACTCAGAGCTTTGAAAGTCTCACGGAAAGCTGAAACCCTGTCCCCACTTGGAGCGCTGTACTACAACACAGGGCGATACGAGGAAGCATTACAAGTCTACAGGGAAGCTGCAGTGCTGCAGCCTTCAAACAAGGAGATTCGACTGGCACTGGTGAGTGTAGAGCTCAGACATTCAGGGAAGAGCCATGAAGCACAGTGCCTGACAGCAAACACAGATGTTTGAGGGAGGTCAGTTGGAGTGTGGTGCTCTCCACATGGACCATGTTTACTGTGCATTCTCCCTAGCTCAGGGAACTTCGCAAGTCTTCATTTTTAATCTCTTCCTTGGCAAAGGGGTACAAATCGTTTTCTGTATCAAAGGCCAGACCATTCCCCTGCTACCTACCTTTCTTCTCAAATTTTTATACTGTTAGGTTCCATGTTGTAGTCACTCCCTCTTCCAGTTGAAAAGATCAGAAAGGGCTTGCCACAGAGTAAGGCAGGACTGCTTCTTGACTGGCTGGAGAAATTCCTGATGAGCAACATTCAATCATTCCTTCCTCCTTCAAGATGTTACTGAACCACTGCCATTTAGCTGTCCCACATCTTGCTTTCCCAGAGAGCATAAGGCTACAACTAGAAACCAAGTTCTGTCCCCATACATTGCGCTATAGCTGGGACATCATAGCAAACCTAGGTGACAAAGATGGGCAGGTTAGCCTGTATTGTCCGCAGCATGTGCTTAAAGGCACGGGCACTTTAAAAAGTAAATATGACCCTTTTAATACTGATCTGTAGGCCCAGGTTTTGGCAATGATGGGGCGAACAAAGGAGGCTGAAAAGATGACAAACCACATTGTGACAGAAGATGCTGAGTGCCTGGAGTGCTATCGCCTTTTATCAGCCATCTATAGCAAGCAGGAGAATTATGCCAAGGTACAGTGAACACTGTGTGCTGCTGTCCCAAATGCACACAGAGGGCTTGAGAGGAATTTTAAACTCTTTCTAGTCAATATACAGACCCTGAGCTGAGATGTGTAGTAGTAGGCATCTAGTCAATATACAGACCCTGAGCTGAGATGTGTAGTAGTAGGCATC